GAACAATTCCCAGTGAAGGGGAAGGAAAATCCCAGCCCTTCCCTGTCTGTGAGCCAGGAGCCAAGGGGAAGCCCCCTGGCATCAGGGAGCTGAGAGGGCCCTGCCAGCCCCTTCCCTCCCCCAAAAGCAGCAGCTGTACCTGTTGGGCCCCCCCAGGAGGCTCAGGGCCATCTGGCTGGCACACACCCCTGTCATCTCCAGCCTCCTCTCCAGGCTCAGCCCGTGCTTCTCAGCCACAGCCAGCAGCTTCTTGTGCAGCTCGTAGGACACGCTGGGGACCACCAGCCCCGAGTCTAGGGGGTCACAAACAGGGCAGGGAGGCACAAAAGGGGACAGTCAGACACCTCCAAGTAGTGGCAGTGAAAAGGCTCCTTAGCTGCTCACCCACGTTCCTTCCCAGGCCACCAAATGAATCCAAATTATTCTCAGTGAGGCAGATGGAGAAACACAAATGCTGCCTTAAAATAACACTTCCACTGAAGTTTGTGTGTTACTAAAATTCCTCAGTTTTAGTAACACGAGGGTTGGGAAGGCCTTTGAGATTTCCAGATGGAATATTAAGGTTTTTCTTCATGGTCTCCAGGCCAACAGTGCTTTAACCCACCATAAAGTGCTCTTGAGCATTGGGAAAGTCTGAAGAGCAGCTGTGAAGTGCCAAAAAAAAAGCCTGGATGATTTTTATGTTTTTTATGGTTTTTATACTTCCTTCCACTGGTCCCCAAAACCCCACAGATCACAGCAAATGAAGCCATCCCACATTTGCTGGCATGAAACCCTCCATCCAGTTAGCAATTTTCTTGGCATTCATTTAAGAAATAAATATTTAATTATGAGTTGAAGAAAATGGCACTAGTGTTAGGATGGCTTGTAAAAGCTTTTTTCTCTGGTTAATATTGTTTTATTGGTCACCCAAACACTGATTGATTTAGTGTTTGATAAAAACAAACAGATTTATTTAACCTGAGTGTACAGAGATATCCTGACAGGTATTGACTACTCCACAAAGAAAACAACAAAAGTTTGCAAAAGTTTTTTCACTTTTTACTTGGCTTTTAAAAATAATTCTAATAGGATATTACAGATAGATAGACTACAAAAGTGGAAAATTAAATAGTATAAAATTTTAGTACATGCCTTAATGAAGGTATAACTGGAAAACTTAAAATCTGAATGAAATGTTTAATTGATTGCTTATGATTATCTCCATCTGAAGGTCCTGCTCTGATCCATTTATGTTTGGATCACAGCACACAGAAGCAGCAGGGAAATGCTCAAAGAAGGAACTCTGCAGAAAAACATCTCCCAGGTGTTCTGGAGAACCTGGGAAATGCTCCAGCATTTGGGTCCAGAGAAAAGAAATAAGAGAGGTTTTGTGAAGTGCTGAGAACTGTCCAGCCTGGCCTTGGATGCTTCCAGGAATCCAGAGGCAGCCACAGCTTAAAATAAATTTTACACAGTAATTAAACCTCCATTCTCCCAAACAACTAATCACTGTAACATCAAAGCCACACAAAAACTAGTTCTTATAAAGAAATCTCCACAAACTAAAAAAGAAAGTCTCCTCTTCCAAACAAATTAGTGAAAAACTAAGTTATTTTCTGTGCATTTTCAATATATATTTAAAAAAAAGAGGGGGAAAATGCCCCCAGCCACGCCGTGCCCCATTCACAGCTCTGTCACTGCTGCTTGTTTTTCAAGCTTCAGGGAAGATTTGCAATGAGGGACCCAAGGTCGGGATCTCTCCCAGCATCATCTGCTGATCCCAAAAAAAGAGGAACTCTCAAAAACTCGACTTTTGCACCATCTGAACCACCCACGAATCCCCTGCTTGAATTTGGCACCAACTCCCTGATCTCAGAGGGCAAAGCAGACAACTCTGTATGCACCCAGCTCAGCACAGATCTTCTCCACACCCTTCCCTCCCCCAGCAGCTCTAGGAAAACTGCATTTCCCACGGGCTGGCAGCCAGCAGTGGGTTACTCTGAGGGGACAGTGATGAAGTGACATTTAGCATGCCAGCCTGTCCTAATTGCTCCCTGTCAGGAGCTGAAATGCCAGGAGAGATTCCCTTCTTCACCCTCACACAAGGTCCAACCAGTCAGACTGGCTCATCAAAAGCAGGCCCGGGGAGTTAAATAAACTCTGGCAGACAGCAATCGAGGAGGAGACGTGGAAACCCACAAATAAAAACACCACTGCCACCAAACTGAAGCCCTGCCAACTTTAATTATGTTTGGGTTGGACAGGGCATCTTTATTGTTTGCTAATGAAGGCAATAAAATAAATTAGCCCAGGTCTTTTAATACTAAATAAATGTATTTTACAGCTGCCTGGGAAAAAAAAAAATAAATCAAAAATCCAACCCACAAGGCAGATATAGACTGAACAGTTTTTGTGACAATGGGTGGATAAAAACATCCTATGCCAGCAGAAGAGCTGGGTTAACTCTCCAGAAATCAAAGAATTATGAGTTTTTCCCCACACAAGGCCTGTAATGCTGCTGGGATGCCCAAATGCTTCCCAAGCTTGCAGTGGCAGGGAAAAAGGAACCGGGGTGTTGGGTCCCATGTTTTCCCTTGGCTGTTTCAGCAGTTCTCTAGTTCTAGCTCCTTGCTAAAATAATCCCAGGCAGTGGATCAGGTAGAACTGGACTCAGGGTGTCCTGCAAGCTGTCTAAACATCATCAACTCTGTCCTTTGGCAATGAATAATTCATTCCAGGAGTGTGACAGACTCACTGCTCTGTAACTCCTGTCCACACCAGACATTCCCTGCTGCCTTCTAAAGCTGGAGCCACCTGCCTGCAGACACAGCAAAACACACAAAAACTGCCAGAGGGACAAAAGGACTCTGCCCCAAGCACACTTGGTTTGCTCCTGAAGCAAAACTTCCTTTGCACTCTCCTCAAAGCAGCCCAGAACAGTTCACACGTTCAATATTCACATCCAGCCATGGGAGAGCTAAAAGCCAAAAGAGGAGAAAAGTCAGTCGAGGACAGGGCACTGCAAAGGAAAAGCCACACTGTGGGCATCACCCTCAGAGAGCACAGCCAGCCTCGGTTCTGAGCTCTGATCCTGCTCCTGTTTCCTGTCTCCACCTCCTTGTTGTGAAGAAAAAAAAAAAAAAAAAGAGTTGTTTGAAGAGCAAACTCCTCTTTGAGCTCCAGCACTCCTGCACAATGCTGGCTTTGCTGAAGGACCTGCTCCCAAAACAGAGATGTTCAAACACAGGAGCAGGAGAGGCAGACCTGAGCCAACACACATCTCAATTCTCTGGAAGAAGAAAAAGGCAGCTCACACCTCATGCAAGGATAAGCCTTTCCAGGGAGGCAGTTTTTGCTAAACAGTTGCATTTCCCAGTAAATAAAGAGACAGCTCAACAGCAGCCAGCCAAACCAGGGAAGCCAAAAATGCTTTTGGGGGGATGCACATGAGGAGTCCCAGGGATGGATTTAGCCCAGCCACAAACACCTGGCTCCAGGTTTTCACTTCTGGTTGGAACAGATTCTCATCTTCTTCATTCCCTGCTTACTTCTAAAACACAGGGTTGTTTCAGAAGTGTTTTACTTTACAGCCTGGCTCCACACATAAATCAGCTCTCAGAAAAGCATCCCAGTGGACTGAAGTGTTTATCCTACACACACCAGTTATTTCAGTCAGCAATAAAATCCCAGGCTGGAATTCCTGCAGGTGAGCCATGTGGGGAACTCAAAAGACTGACTCAAAACTGATATCAGCAGTTTGGTTTTACCTCTGCACCATCATGGTTGTTCCCTAGCTCCAAAAAAAGCAGGCAGAGATGCAGAGACAGGGATCCCACAGTGCCAAGAGCTGGATATGAACTCCCTGCCAATCTCCAGCATCAGTTTTGTGCTGTTGCAGCAGACAGAGAGACAGAGAATCACTGTCTCAGTCAGGGCTCTGTTAACACAATCATCTCTCAGATTGGCCCTCGGTAAAAAAAAAAAAAACAAAAACAAAACAGGAGAAAGAAGTGCTTTGTCATAACTAGGAAGTGCTTTTTGCAAGGAGAGCTTCCCTTAGGAAACCAGAAAAAACTCTGCAGGGAGAATCCTGCCACAGACACATCCAACACCAAGGCTTTTGGAGCTCTTGGCACTCATTTAATCAAACCAGCTGCTCCCTGAGCCACTGAGAGGCAGGCTGCCTACAGCTCAGCATCCTCCTTCCAGCTGCTAAACAAAGGGGCTGGGAGTGCAGCAAACAGCAATGAGTTTCCATCCCTGAATTTACCCACTGCTGCTCAGTGCATGGTGGTTTTCCTCCCAGGAATTCTGCTGCTGGAATCCCCTATCAGCCATCCTGCCCAGATTGGCTGCCAACAGTGGCTTAGCTTTTGTTTCAGACTAGACATCCACAGAGGCCCTGTCTCCTCTCAAACAAGCCAGCTGGAAGATGGATTGACAAGTGGGAAATTTGGAAAAAAAACAAAAACCAAAACCCACAAGATAGACAGGAAACCACAGAGAAAATGAAGAGGTGCTTATTCACACAGCACACGGGTACTCAGTGTGGCTTCTTCCACAGAGAGATGCTGAAAGCTTTGGGAGATTTAAAAAGCAAAAGGTTAAACTGAGCAGGAAAAAAAAGCCATTAATCCTGAACTTTCACTGCTGCCTCAGGAAGTCTCAAAATCGTGAAAGACAAAGCAGTGGGGGAAGTCTCACTGCACATTTCTTTCACTTTTCCTCGAGGATCCTTGCAAACACAACACTGAGCTGTTACAACCCACTGTGTTCTCCTCTCACCCAAGCAGCAGAATGGGACAATAGGAAGAGGAATGACAGAAATGGAGAACTAGGACATTGTTATACACCAGAGCCATGCAAAAAAAAAAAAGGGACTTTTCAGAACTGAAAAGCAGCAAATCATTACAAATCCATCAGCTTCCTCCCCTGAAGCATTTCACAGCCCAGATGGAATTTCCAGGCAGAGGACGAATGACAGCCCAAGGAGCTGCTCACACTTCTGCTCAGGCCACCAGAATATCAGTTGGTTTGAGTCCCTGCAAAAAGAGCTGACATCTGATTTTATTCTGATGTGGAAAAGAAACGTTCCTGGAATGCCAAATTTCCTTCACTCCTACATTTTACAAAGTGGCTTAAAATCAAAGGCAAGATATCCCAAGGAGACCAAAACTACTTGGAATTCGGAGCTAAACGTGCCATAAATTCTTCTTTACATGAACTATATTTAAAACCCAGGCAGAAATGGAGAACTACAACCCAAGGAGTGCCAGGAGCACAGGAAATCTCCTGAAACCATGAAAAAGCACAAATCCTGAGCCCATCCTTCTGTCCCTCTCCAGAGTCCACGTGGCTTCACCAAGGTACTGAAATCAAAGCAAGGATTCAAACACCTCTTACTCAGTTGCCAACCATCAGCTTTGTTCCCTGCTGGAGCAACACTTACATTGCTGCCCACTCTGAGTATTTAACTCAGAGATAAATATCTCGATTATTTATAAATATCTCAGTATTTATCTCAGAAACACTGCAAGGAAAAGCTGTGTGTGGACACACAATCCAACTTAACGTGAACAACACCCTTGTTGAACCACATCACGCTGACAAAAACCCACCAAAAAGCAGCAGTTTGGGGTTTTTAATCAGGAAAGGAGGGGGGTCATACCTGTGCAGAATTCCTTGTGAGGGTTCTGGGGCACCACAATCCTCCTGTAGACGATGGGCTCTGACTCCAGGATGTTCTCGTCGTGCCGGTAGCGGGCGGGTTTCTCGTTGGGAGTGCCCCGGGAGCGGGTGCCGCTCCTCCTCTCGTAAGTTTCGATCTCTTCAAACACGGCTGCCTTGTCAAAAAGGGCCAGGTTACCCTCGAAATCGAAATCAGTGTCTGGGATTTCATCAATGTCGTCCCCAAAGCATTCGTCATCCTTGCTCTTCATCTGCCCGTTCTTCAGGCCGCTCTTCTTCGGGGTCACCTGGTTGGGGTGGCGGCTGCTGGATGACCCTAAACCCCCAAAAAAAACCCCAAGTTGAGAGTGTATCCTAAAAGGGGAAAAAGCTCCTGCTCACAGTCCCCTCACTCAAGGGATACTCTTTAATCAGTGGTTTGGTTGAAGTTTCTCCTGCCTTCACTCAGAGCCAGGATTAAAAAACACGGAGATGAATTTTCTCGTGTTCAGGCTTGGTCGTTTATTAAATCTTATCTAAGGCACAGAAAGTTCAGTAACACTTCCAGCCACCAGCTAGAAGAGAGTAAAATAGAGAGAGATGCAGCTGCTACAAGGTCTCTTAAAGCTAAACAGTCCAATAGAGAATTAACACCTATATTATTGATACTTTTGACCCAATAACCAAAGTCCCATGACCCTCAGTGCAGCACTCACTGTCCAACCAGAAACTACTGCCTGAAATCATGGAGAAGATGAGCACTGAAAAAGAGACACCACCCAAATTCCTCCACCTTGTTCCATACCTATTCCTATATTATAAAAATCTCAAATTTAAAACCCTTCACCATGTGAAATCACACATTTCTATTTAACTACACACCCGTGATTTTAACTCCATCACTCAAATTTGGAGCCTTCTCCAAGGCCTCAGGTCCAAAGCACTGTTCTCCAGGGGGTCAGTGCCAGAAAGCACAGAAAGCTCAAAAATCCCACATTTCTGGGATCCAACACTCACCATGGAGCTCACCCCTGGCATTACTTGCACTCAGCTAAGCCAGCAGAAAATAGAACCAGAGCATCAGCAAAGAGACTTGCAGGGACTTCCCAGCAGCCAGGTGAGAAACACAGGCTTGCCCACAGCAGCAGAAGAGGTGTTTGTCCATGTTTTATCTAACCCCAGGGTCACATCAGTGCTGAGGTTATCAGCTGTGACCTCAGAGTTTCCTCCTATCCTGAGTCCATGTTCAGGCAGGTGTGTGACCCAAGGCCTTCTCTGGAATTCCCATAAATTTCAGAAACTACTGTGGGTGTTTTCTTCCACATTAATGATCTTTCAGGGGCAACTTCAAACCCTGAATGTAAAGGATCTCTTTTTTCCCCCACCTTGATGTAATTTCTGTGATATGACACACAGTCCACTGCCTCATTCCTGGTTCACTCTCCTCCTTATCCATTACCTTGTATTTTGGAATACACTTCTTTCCAACCACAAGTCGTTGGGAAAGCCCAAATTCTCTGCAGTGAGACTGATCAAAGTCTCCTGCTTAGGGCTGGGGATTAAGAATTGATACAAAACCACAATTATGAGGTCAAGATATCCTTTACTTGCTTATTTCTTCCTTTGTTCTCCGGGTCCAGACGATATTATTCTGTTTGCCATTGCCAGTGTTACATTTGCAATTACCTGAAAATATTTCAGGCCAATTCCTGCAGTTACAGGAATCACCCACAGTGTCCAACAGATGGAGCAGGTTATCAAGCAAGGCTGCTTGCTCTACTAAACCATTTCCTGTCGTTTAAGATCATCCCCTTTGTGAGGGATTTATACAAATGAGTTTGAGAGAATCCATTTGATTACACAGAAACAATTTCAGCCATCCAAGGAGACTTTCAAACATCCCAAAAGATTTGCAACAGGCACAAATTCCACAAGCATCCTTCAAGTCACCTGTGTTAACCTGAAAGCTTTCCCAGTCCCCACAGCAAGATCCCAAATCTGCCAGGCTTTGCAGAATAACCATTCCCCATTAAGAAAAAAAAAAAAACCAAACCCAAACACCCTTCTCAAATGAGAATGTGCCTTTTGTCTTGGAAGGACAGACAGCAGAATTCCAGCACTGTGGTGACAAAACAGGATTTAGGAGAGAGGAAAGGGTAAGGCTTTTCAGGAGGGAGAATTTCAGTAGGTACACTCATTTATGTGCATGGTTTTGAAAGCTTCTTGGTAACAACTTCCACTCTGACCCAGATCAAGGGCTCCCACACCAAAGGTGACACAAAGTTGGACAGGATTTGGTTTGGAACTAAACTGCCACTGCTGAGGGAATCACAGCCACAGCTGCTGCTCTGGAGGAGGAAGATGAGGAATGCAAACACAACAAACCCAAGTCCTCCCAACACTCAGGAGGAATTTCAGCTCAAGCAGAAGCCAAGGGACTCTCAGGGCTGGAGCCTGCACTGCAATAGGGGCCTGCTCCCCTGTCAGTGTTGAGAATTTGGCCAGCTCAGGCTGCTCCTGTCACACTCCTTGCCAGACCCCTCTGCAAACAGCTCCACACTCCCCTCAGCTGCCCCAAAACTCAGAGTGTGTGTCCAGTGGGACAGGAGCAGCTGAGGTCAGCATGGAATGCTGATGGAATAAAAGGAAGCTGGAGAACAATGGCTGCAAAGCTCCTTGCAGCCACAAAGAACGGGAGGCAGGATCCCAGCTCACCAAAATCCATCCTGAGGGGTGCCAGCTCTGCAATGCTCTGCCCTGGCTGCCCCACAGCCAGAAGCCACACAGAGCATGGCACAGGAGCAAAGTTAGGAGCTGTTCCTCTTCAAGCATCACCTTGTAGACAGGAAGAAATGAGCTGGTTCTGCTCAGGGAGAAGAAAAGAGCCAAAAAAAGGGCAAGGGGATGAAAGCAAAGTCAGGCTGCAGAAAAGCTGCTTTTGGATCCCAGCTTCCAGTGCCTCTGCCCTGCATGAGGAAAGCAGCTCCACTCCAAGCTGGCAGCCCTGTGCCACACAGAAAAGCACCTCCTTCCCAAGATAAACAACCCTTCCCGGGCTTTTTTTTTGTTCCTAAGGAATAACAACCCTTTCATGGACAGCACACAAGCAAACAAAGTCCCCAGTGAGCTGGCTGCCTTCCTGAGAGATCCCTGTGGGAGGCTTTGCTGCCAGCCCTGGCACGAGGAGCCCGGTGCCAGCAGAGCCATTGTTGGGAAACCTGCACTGGTGTTTGTTGTTTATTGATTCCTGTCACACCAGTGACATTCCAAAGGGCAATTCTGGCCCTCACTTGGCACGCTAGAGGCCAACAAGAGGGCAGCTTTCAGCTCTAGGAACCAAGTTGTGGGTGACATCTCAGCCTGCTCTTCCCTGGACTCCTGCACAAAGCCAAGCTCAACTCCATCCCCCTCCAAAACTCACCCATCGCTCTCCCCACTCTCCAAACACACACATTTTACATTTTACAGGGTGAGACATCCCTTCTCTACCTCCTTTATTCCAAAATGAACCCAAGCTCAACCTAGGACCTCACTCAACCTGCCTCAAAGTCTGTAAAAGTGACCTGTTGTGCTCATGTAACCCTGACATGAGTTGCTCATGGGTTGAAGCACTCTCTGCTCACCCCAAATCTACCAAACATCCTGGAAGGGGTAAAAACATCCCAGCTGTTGCTGAGGGAGAGATTTCCAGAGGTCTAAGAATTTCTCCCCAAAAACACAGCCTTACACTTGTTGAACTGGCCTGGCCCACTCTGGTTTGTTTCTTTTCTAACTGCAAGGGGTGAAAAAAATGAAGTCATGGCTTCAACAATTAAGTCATGGAAATATGCTGGATATACATTGACATTTCAGGAACTGGATTATGAGGATATGGAAAGGAAGATAGCCCAGGGGGCTTTGAGGGAAAAAAAAAGTGAACAAAGTCAGTTTTGGCCCAATTTTGAGGATTTTATCAAGAGAAATAAAAGTAATGGATGTGTGACTTTGGGAAGCTCTGATTGTATCTTACATCACCCTCATTAATTTGTATTTTTAACAACACAGTTATTTTAAAAGCCCATTCGTAATTAAGCATGGGGTGATGTTGGAATAGGTTATGAGTATAGAAGCCTTAAATAGAAAAGCTTGGGGAGATTTAGAAATCAGGAGGTTAAATTGAGCAGGAAAAAAAGCCATTAATCCTGAACTCTCACTGCTGCCTCAGGAAGTCTCAAAATCCTGAAAGACAAAGCAATGGGGGAAAGTTTCACTGCACATTTATTTCACTTTTCCTTGAGGATCCTTGCAAACACGACACTGAGCTGCTACAGCCCACTGTGTTCTCCTCTCATCCAAGGATAATAGTGCAGTTTGTTTGCAGCTCCTGTTAGAGGAAAAGGCTGGAAGCTGGGCAATCTTCAAACAGGAGAGAGAGAGAAATGAGGAAATCTTTGGAACTGGCATTAGACATTTTCTACAGACAGAATGACCAAGATGGAAGAGACCTTTAAGATCATAAATCTAACACCACCTCAACTAGACCAGGGCACTGAGTGCCACATCCAAACTTTTTTTAAACACATCAGGGATGGTGACTCCACCTCCTCCCCAGGCAGACAAACCCAGCACTTTCTCACTCCTTCAGTAAAAAACGTTTTCATAAAATCCAACTGAAATTTAAGGCTGTATCCTCTCGTTCTGTCTGGAAAAAGAGATGAACCCCCACCTGACTACTTTGAGGTGGGGTCAGAAACATATTCTATTCCAAAATAACCCACAGGTGGGTTAGCTTCCAACAAAATTTGGTGAAAAGAGGAAGAAGCTGGAGCAGGAGAAGCTGCAGGACTCACAGGAATTGTGCCTCCGACGGAATCCTTTGGACTGGCTCAGCGTTTCCATGTGTCGATCCATGTAGCTCTTGGAGCACTGCTGCTGTGGGGAGATCACCAGCTCCTGGCTCTTCATGTCTGTCCTCCTGGGGATGTTCTGAGGAGCACTGCTGGACATTGGCTTCTTCAGCACCTTGCCAGTGCCATTCTGGCTGGGCCCCACCTGGCAGCCCACCCCTGGCATGGCTGTGTCCATCTGCTGCGAGTCCCCACATTGTCTGCTGTCCCCCGGCCCTGGGATCTCCAAAATCTTCAGCTCAGTGATGTCACCTGCCCTAAAAAACAGAAAAAGCAGGAATTTAGCACACATCCTGGCAGGGAAAAAAAAACAAAACAAAAAACAAAACACAAACCCCTGAGGAAAAAGATCATTGTCCAATGGGATTGTTCTGGAGCTATCACGGATAGAAACCAATGCACCATTTTCTGATGCCATCACTGATAGAAACCAATGCATCGTTTTCTGATAGAAACAAGGGACTAAAAGGATTTTAATACTCAGACATGCAGGGCATTTTCACAGATATCAAAATGTTCAACTGAAATGCCAAATCTCCAAAATAATCCTTCAGTATTCCTGCACTGCACCTGGATTTTGTTTGAAAGGCTCTGCAGCTGAAACAGGAATCAGCCAAGTGAAAAATGGAAGCAACTGGGCCAGACCTTTGCAGAAATCTACATTAATTTAACAGTTTCTAGCTAATTAATTGCTCTCAGCCTTGAGGCTACTATTACTTTTAATCCATTTCTGCAGAAAGCTACCCACAGATTAGCACAGCTCATGCTCAGACAAGGAGAATACTTCCCATTTCCAAAGAAAAAAGGATCAAGAAAACTAATCTAGCACTGGGCACATGCCAAAAGAAAACAAAGGAGTGATTATAAAGGCCTCCATTTGCACTGACTGCAAGAAATACAGCAGGAATTAGGCTCTCCTAGCCTGAACTCAGCATTTGTCCAAGTGGGATATGAGAGCAGAGAGATTTCCACACATCCCCAGGCAGGATGGGGCTGTTGAGTTCTCTCACCATGTCTCTTCAAAATCCAAGGGGAAAAAAAAGAGAAATTTAGAGCATTGACTTTGTGGAGTCGATGTTAGTGAAAAATGAGGGACTTGGGGCTTTCACCACAACATTCCAGGCAACAGGAAAATGTACAGTGAGGGGTGGCTCCTATTTATACTTTTTAAGCACTGTGTTATCAGGAATTGGTGGGAAAGAACTGCTGAGGGCAAAGCTTTAAAAAAGCACATCAGAGCACCCTGTGCTACAACAGAATACAAATAAAAATAATCAAAAATAAATATAAATATATATTTGTATACATACACAGCCTGACCCTTAAATAATCTCTGAGCCTGAGCTACCTCACTCCAATTCCAGGATCCCAGCCAGGAATTAAGAACTGCTGAGGGCAAAGCTTTAAAAAGGCACAGAGTCCTCTGCTATAATAGAACAGAATATAAATAAACAAAAATAATCTAAAATAAAATATACATTTGTATACATATATGGCCTGACCTTTTAATAACCACTGAGCCTGAGCTACCCCACTCCAACTCCAGGATGTGAGGCAAGAATTAATCTCCTGCACACAAACTAACACAAACAGAGGCTCTCAGCAGCAGCAAGATGTTAAAAAAAAAAAAAAAAAGCAAATATAGGGCCAAAATAGAACATAACACAGCGTGAGGGGAACAGAACCAAAGCATGCCAGGCACAGCACTAACCTGAAGGTGACTTCTGGCACCAGGCATTTGACACCGTTGTGGAAGGGCCGTGTGAGGGAGATGGTCTGGCTGACCTGATCCACAGCAGACACCCTGCCCTGGTACACCCCCAGACTGTCCCCACAGTTAATGGACACGATGCTGCCCAGCCAGTCCGTGGCCATCCTCGGGGAGCTGCTGGCAACAGCACAGCACTGCCTGGAAAACACAAAAACACAAACAATATTCACAACCTGCATCGGCAGCAACACTGCCTCCCTCCCAGCAACCTCCTCTGGGCACGAAATCACACCCCAAGTGACAGAAATGACACCCCAAGTGACACCCCAAGTGACAGAAATCACACCCCAAGTGACAGAAATGACACCCCAAGTGACAGAAATGACACCCCAAGTGACAGAAATGACACCCCAAGTGACAGAAATGACACCCCAAACGCTAGAAATACACCCCAAACGACACCCCAAGTGCTAGAAATACACCCCAAATATTAGAAATACACCCCAAATGACACCCCAAATATTAGAAATCCATCCCAAGTGTTAGAAATCCCTATTATAATATGGGCTTTTCCCAAATATTAGGGTGTTCAAATGGCTTTATAGACACATTTTTCTTGAAGAGCATCATAAGCTAATAAAGTGTATTTGCAATACAAATACACTGCTTAGTTGATTAACACTCAATTAAAACACAAGCTAATAAAAATTCACTTCACATAACCTAATAAAATTCACTTTGTAGTAAGTGAACTGCCTGCTTAGTTGATTAACACCAATTAAAACACCTACTACAATATACTTAACAGTTAACAGAAAGTTAACACTTTCTTTCTGTAAAAATTGGAAATTACAGCCTAAATGAAGACTGAGAAAGAAAATATTTGTAGTGAGTGAACTGCCTGCTTAGTTGAACTCTAAATAAAAAAGAAAATAAAGATAGAATAAAAATAAGAATATGTAATAAAATAAATATTAAATATAAATATATAATACATTAAACATAAATATAAAAATAAATAAATATTAAAAAATTAAAATAAAAACCACTAATTAAATAATACAATTAACCCATTTACAATAATTTTAGTAAGAAAGAGGTTCACAAAAGCCCCTGAAGGCTTTCAAATAAAGATTTGCTCTTACATCACCTCCTTACTAAAATTAATTTCCAGGCTGGAAAAAAAGGAACAAATCCTGAGATTTCAAACTGGGAATTTATCTTCACTTCCCTCTTTAATGGACACTGGGGCAGAACAGCTCCTATGAATATTCAGGATTGATTTCTACATTTTAGAAAATGAAAATATTTATGGGAACAGAGAGACACAGAAAAGAGGGAAAAATCCCCCAAAAAACTGGAACCCACTGCAGAGGCAGCATTAGCATCGCTGCCACAATGAAATAAATGAATTTAAAAATTGCTGCTCTCCTTCCCAGCACTCGAGTTTGTCAGCAGCAGGGAAGGAAAAAAAAACTGCAATTTGTTCAGACAGATGTTTGCAACTCTCCTGGAAGCAGCTAAAAAAGCTCCTTTGATGTGAGATTTCCCAGTGACAGAACTGCAGACATGACAAAGCTCCTAAATGTGGAGATTTGCCTTTCATGCTGCAATCAAAGAGGGAAAACGTTGGAAATTTACCGTGAGCAGCACAAAAAAACAAAAAAAAAACAACACAGGAGACAGCCCAGGGAGATGAACATCCAGGTATAAATCACATTTCTGGGAGAGGCAGCTAGGAAAAAAAAAAAAATCTCACTTCCCTCAACTTTCACAGGGGATGCTTTTCAAAGGGAAGAAAAGGCTAAATTTGGTCACAAATCTGTAAATTCCTCAGGAGCAGCCTCCTCTCCTTGCTGTGTTTGTATGATAATGTCTGCATTCCGAGGAGATGGCTGCTAAAAATCACCCTCAAAACACAGATAACACATCCTTGGAGATCCACAGGAAAATTAAAACTTCATTTCCTGCTTTCTTTACAATCTCCCTTAGGAAATATGGGAAAGAGCTCAGTACAAATCGTCACCTTACACGGATCCTCTCTAAAAACATGAGACTCCTTTTAGCAAAAAAAAACAAAAAAACCCCAAAACAATAAATCTGTGTTTGAGTGCAAATATAAATTAAACTATCCGGGGGTGGGGACTGTGTCATTAACCTATAGGTAAACATAAGGATCCCAAATATTATAAATATTGTAAATATGCAAACATGTGGACCTACCACAGGTAATATCAACCTGCCTCATCGGTAAATATAGGAAAAAAAGGTAAAAAAGGTAAAAATGGGGAACTCCATAAAGAAACACAGGGAACAATTCCACGGATAAACACAGGGAACACCAAAAATAAAAAAACCACAGAATAATTCCATGGATAAACACAGGGACCCCTCCCATGGATAAACACGAGGAACCCCCAAAAATAAACACAGGGAACCCCAAAAATAAAAACAGGGACACTTCGCCATGGATAAACACAGGGAACCAATCCCAAAAATAAAAAGAGGGAACCCCCTCTATGGATAAACACGAGGATCCCCAAAAATAAACACAGGGAATCCCCCCAAAAAACCACAGAGAACAATTCCATGGGTAAACACAGGGAACCCCAAAAATAAACACAGGGAATCCCCCATGGATAAACACCAACTGGGAACCCCAATACACAAAACTCCCCCTAAAAGCAAACACAGCCTCCCCCATAGATAAACACAGGGAGCCTCATTGGTAAACACAGCCCCCCCATAAATAAATACAGACCCCATAAGTCAACACAGACCACGCCATATGTAAATACAGATCCTCACAGGTAAACACAGGGACCCCATAGTCAAACACAGCCCCCACAGGTAAATACAGGGACCCAATAGTCAAACACAGCCCCCACAGGTAAACACAGGGACCCCACAGTCAAACACAGCCCCCACAGGTAAATACAGCGACCCCATAGCCAAACACAGCCCCCACAGGTAAATACAGGGACCCAATAGTCAAACACAGCCCCCACAGGTAAATACAGCGACCCCATAGCCAAACACAGCCCCCACAGGTAAATACAGCGACCCCATAGCCAAACACAGCCCCCACAGGTAAATACGGGGACCCCATAGTCAAACACAGCCCCCACGGGTAAACACGGGGATCCCATAGTTAAACACAGCCCCCCCAGGTAAGTACAGGGACCCCATAGTCAAACACAGCCCCCACAGGTAAATACAGGGACCCCACAGTCAAACACAGCCCCCACAGGTAAGTACAGGGACTCCATAGCCCCCACAGGTCTCCCCCTCCGTGCCTACCCCGGCCCCACCTCCCCCCGCGGCCCGTTCAGGCCGGTCAGGGCCCGGCGCCCCGGCCGCGCCTCCCGGCAGCGCGGGAGAGCCCCAGCCCTGTGGGAAGGCGCGGTGCCAGCCCAGCGCGGCCCCTCCGAACGCCCGGGCCGTGCCCACCGTCCCCCCGCGGCCCTCACCCACAGCCGCCGCCGCCGCCTCTCCCGCCTCACCGCGGCCCCTCCGCCTCGGCGACGCTCGGCGTGACGTCACTTCCGGCCCCGCCCCTCGCGCGCGGCGCTCTGGCCGCCGGCGGGGTCATAGAGACGGCGTGGGAGCCGCGCTGTGCGCATGCGCAATGCCCGCCGCCGCGGCTCTCCGGCTGGGTCACACACCTGGGTCGCACACCTGGGTCACACACCTGGGTCACACCTGGGTCACACACCTGGATCACATAACTGTGTCACACACCTAGATCACACCTAGGTCACACACCTGTGTTACACACCTGTGTCGCACACCTGGGTCACACACCTGGATCACATAACTGTGTCACACACCTAGATCACACCTGGGTCACACACCTGTGTTACACACCTGGGTCACACCTGGGTCACACACCTGTGTTACACACCTGGGTCACACCTGGGTCACACACCTGTCACCTCTGTCCCTCCATCCCACCATCCCTTCCATCATCTCCATCCTACTTCTGTCACCTCTGTTAGACTTCTATCCCCTCCATCCCTCCATTCCTTCCCTCCTCTCCATCCCTTCATTCCCTCCATCCCTTCCATTATCTCCACCCCTTCATCCTCTCCATCCTTTCCATCATCTCCATCACCCCATCCCTTCCATCATTTCCATCATATCTCTGTCGCCTCTGTCACACTTCCATCCCCTCTGTCATCTTCCCATCTCAAGGCTGCTCTGCTCCAGAGCAGCTTTCCACACCAAAACACCAAAATAACCCAAAAATCTGTGCTCTGGTGGGGCTGGGAACCCTGGAGGGCTGATCCCTACAGGGACAACATTTAGGGATGAACAGATCCCAGCTTTCCAGAGAGTCCTTTGTTGTTTCCATGGGAATTCAGTGTTTTTTGCTTTTTTTTTTTTTTTTAAGGGAAATTGTGCAAAGCTTCGGATTTAATGGTGCTCTGAGATGAGGATGAAACATCGCCTCACGGAAGGCTGGGTTTGACTTATTGATTCCATTTTTTCAGGGATAGAAATCTACTCTCCCGATTTTAGTGAAGCCCTGAACTGATCCAGAGCTTGGCATCACCTTTCTGCCTATCCCAGCTGAGACTTTACACACGAGAAGGAACAGAATCAGCTCCCTTGGGGACGAAAAGCTTCCCCCAATGCCACTGGACTCACAGCCCACCCATTTCCCACAGGAAAAGCCCTGATCCAACACACCAGCTCAGATTTTTCAGGATGATAGAGAGGCGTAGGGTGTTTTTCCCTAAAAAAAAAAAAACAACAAAACATTTCCCAGTGGAATAAGATCAGAAAGAGACTTGAGAAATGCTCATAGAAGTATTTATTAGGTTAGAAATACGGTGTGGTTTTCATTCTAACACATGGCTGCATTCCAAAAGGGCACAAACAGGCAGGAATTGCTGCTCCATTTGCCATGAGGCTTCACCTTCCCAATGGCTAAAGCTGAAAGCAGCACAAGGCATCTCCTGCAATCCTGAAACCCTTGCTCCTTAACCTGGATGTAGAAACCTATTGCTTGATAAAGAAAAAAATACCCTGATATTAAAAAAAGGCAGCAAATACAGAGTTAGTCTGAAAACCAGGAGTGTCTTACTGTTCCTTGTCCCTTTTCCCAGTTCTTTGAGATTTTCCAGGAGGCTCCATGGCATTGATTAAAATCTCAGTTTGTGATTGATTAAAAAACTCAGTTTGTGAGCAGCACTGCTGGTGGATTTTTTTTTTTTTAAATCAGTAGGAACACTCCATGGTGTATTCCTACACAGGAATTCACTCCATGGATTTACATTCAAGGAATTCGGGTGGGTGGGTGCACCCAGGCCGGGTCCCATCGGGGTGGGAGCTGCTGCAGCCTCCAGAGCCTTTGTGAAGCAGCAGGAAACACCCATTCCCAGTGGCATAAAAAGTTGGAAAAGAAGATTTCAGCCCGTGGGATGAGGCTCCTCTGAGAGGAGGATTTATTTAAATTTGGATGGAGGGAGCTCCCGGTGGCAGGTGGAGGACACCCCAGCACATCCCCCCTCCCCACCACCACTCTCTGGGGAGCATCCCTGTGGGAAGGGGTGATGGAGCTGGCTCTAGGGGCTGGGAAAAACCCCACAAATCCCTCCCAAATTCCCGGGAGAGGAACCCAGCCTCCAGCAAACGGCTGTGAGTGTCCGACTCCCAGCGCTGCTTCCTCACGGAGAGCTTTTCATGGGAAAACGCTGCTGGATCTGGAACGCCTCACACTTCTTGTACTTCATGGTCAGCCCGTACTGGGGGGTGATGTCCACGGGCTCCCCAGGCCTCAGGCTGAAGTGCAGCTGCTGCAGCATGGTGGTGAGGAAGAGGAAGATCTCCCAGCGGCCGATGACCTCGCCGAGGCAGCGCCGCTTGCCCAGCCCGAAGGACAGAACCTTCTCGCTCTCTGTCTTGCTCACTTCTGTCCCCGTGGGGGTCAGGAACCGCTCGGGCCTGAAGGCTGAGGGATCCTTCCAAAGTTTCCTGTGACACACAGGGGACACTCCTGAGTGGTTTGGTCAGAGGGTCACAGAATTGGCTCCCTGTTTTTTGGGGACAGCTCGTCCGGTGCCACCCCCTGCCATGAGCAGGGACATCTTCCACCATCCCAGGGTGCTCCAAGCTCTGTCCAGCCTGGTCTTGGACACTTTCAGGGATCCTCACCCTGTGCCAGGGCCTCCCCACTCTCACAGGGAAGATTTCCTCCCAATATCCCATCCATCCCTGCCTTCTGGCAGTGGAAGCCATTCCCTGTGTCCTGTCCCTCCATCCCTTGTCCCCAGTCCCTCTCCAGCTCTCCTGGAGCCCCTTTAGGCACTGGCAGA